TGTTTTCTGTTCCACTAGATGCAATTGATAAAAGGGCAAATGTACTCACAGGTGTTTATAGCATCGAACCCAGAGCTGCTGCCACATCCATTGACAGCTGCTGAAAATCCCTAGACGGACTGCACAGAACAAAGCACCTACCTGGGTAACACTGAACAGCTGACAAGCACACAGACTATGCACACTGAGGAGCAGGAAGGAAAGGTGGAGGTGCTCACTGCGTGCACCCACCTTCCTCATAGTGGGTATCCACCTTCCCCACATCTCTAGGATGCATCTCTAGGATGAGGCCTCACATTGCAGAAGGGAAGGTTCAGACTGGATACTGGGAGAAATTTCTCTTCCTAAAGAGAGCAGTCAGGTGCTGGCACAGCTGCCCAGGGGTGGAGGGGTGGGGAGGTCACTGTCCCTGGGGGTGTTCCTGGGTTTGTGGGGTTGTGGCACTGAGGGCTGGGAGCAATGGAAGCTCACTGTGCTTTTCCAACTGTAATGGTTCTCTGGTTCTATGATCCATTCCGGTGCATCCACCTTCCTCAATTCGCATTTAGGACAATTTATCTTTGGTGCAAATTTGCCACGTGCCATCCCACTGTGCACACACATCCAAATAAGGAAAACAGAGCAGAATGGTTAGCTATAAAAGGACAGAAAACATCTTCAGAAATGTTTGAAAAAAGGCATGAAAAGTAATAACACATCTTTATTCAAGCACCTCGGGAGCAGGAAACCTGCCAGACTCTATGGAAAGGATATAAAAGGAACGCTCCGAAAGAAAGGTCACAGCAGAAAATCTAAATTAATTTGCATTCAGAGTTTGGGCCAGCTCCCATGCTGCAGTGCTCACCCACAGAGTCAGCTGGAGGGTTTGTCTTAAGCAGAAATCAGAATAAAGGAAAAGGAAAGGAAAAAAAAGGAACAGAGCAGAACTGCTGATGGAACTCGGGTTACAAGCTCAGACAGCGTGCATGTATCACACATGGCACCTCAGTGCTGGGTGATGGGAAGCCTGTAAGCAATGTCACAATAACTTCTGCATCATTGCAGGACACACTGAGGAGACCATGTATCAGTGACTGCCATCTGTACCAGGCAAATTAACAGAAGCTCTTCTAACGTGAAGGGATACTCGAAGAAATATGACACATTAGGGGAATTCAGCAACGTTTTTGTGATGAGAAAGGATGACTCAAACTCCTGGAGCCTATCAAAAGAGTACAAGAGATCTGGACAGTGAAGTCTACCAAAAGCTCGTGTGGAGGTCCATCACTGGGACTTCTTAACATAGCACCTGTGTGAAGAGAGAGGGTCTTCACATGCATAAATTGGAAGAAACAGGATTTTTACATGAGTGGGAGGAGCTGCCAACAGCTCCAGGCTCCTGCTGCTGACTTGGTGAGTGATTCAGAAAAGGATGCTGACCTACAGGAGGTTTTCAAAACAAAGCCATTTGGGCCTTTCCAGGAGCTGTTATCACTGCCACAAGCAGGGCTGAGGGCAAGGGAGGGGACCTGTGGGACCCAAATCACCAACAGCAGCACACCAACGGTTCTCTCCTCCCTTGACAGCCTCCTGCCTTTCCTTGTCTTTCCATTCAGGCTAGAGTACAGTGCTACCCTGCAGGACAGAAGCTGGGAATTGCAGCCCTCCACTCTGAGAAATAACTCAAACACAGAATAATTAAACACTGAAGCACAAATTGCCTCATTCAAAACCCACTGAAGCTAGTCAAAATCTCTGCACTGAACTTAATTGCTTCAGTTTGGGTGCAAAATGCCTGAAAACATCAGTGGCAATTGGAAAGCCTCACCTTCAGCTTCACATACATATTCAGCAGGGTAGCATTTACAGAGCAGAATGCTACAGAGCTATTGGGAGCTGTGCTCTATTAAGCATTGCCCTGAGCCATTACACAGTGATATTACATGTCATTACAGCAAGAAAAGATCACCTCTACCAAACAGAATAATACGAATTATCCTGGTTGGGTCTTTGGGCCATGGATAGCACCTGCAGAGGTGTTACATTGCTCAAACCTCAGAACCTCGGTCAGAAGCTTGCAAATGCTCCAGAAATTTTAACAGGAATTGAAGGAAAAACAAAACCAACCAGATTGTTTCCTGATTTTGTTGCAAAAGTTACTGCTTTGATAAGATATTCCAAAATATTTGCAATATTAGCCAGAGATTTCCAGATATTTCCTAATGCCCTAAAGCTCTTGGAAGCACATATGTTTAATAACCGTGTAAGAGAGAAAAGAAATAATTGTTTTTAGAAAGCAGTTTTGTGAAGAGCTGTACAGTCAACATACAAATATTTTCAGCATTTAAGAAGTAGCAGCAAAGTCTTCTGAAGAGAAAGTACTGCTGATGGAGAACAGGAACACCCTGCATTGCACTCCTGCACATCAGGGCACTCCTCCAGCCCACCACAACCCAGCACAACAGCAGAACTGCAATGTTTGCTACGTCTGTCCCAGAGAAAACTCTCTGCACTGCATCAATTTCCCACCACAAAGTATCAGGGAATACACTGATATGTTTGGACTTGTTTTACATGCAGAAAAATTATGACAAACTCAGGCAACGGAGAGCTCTTGTTGTGTAATGCAAGGCCTATTAAGGTGGTGAGGCACTGTTCACAGGCTGCCCAAGGAGGCTGTGGATGCCCCATCCCTGCAGGCATTCAAGGCCAGGCTGGATGTGGCTCTGGGCAGCCTGGGCTGCTGGTTGGTGACCTGCACACAGCAGGGGTTGGAACTGATGAGCGTTGTGCTCCTCTGCAACCCAGGCCATTCTACAATTAAAGAACACCACTTTGGAGATCCCTGCTCTGGTGAGGGAGCTTCCTTCCAACCAGCAGTTATTAGTATTTACTTTGATGATTTTGTAACTAAATTTGGACACTTGGCACTTGGTTACCATGGATACGTTTTACAACAACCTTGACTTGTTGACTGAGTGGCAAAAATAGAGCTACAGTAAACACAAAGCACATTTAATTGCTGTTTATGCCAAGATGCTAAATGCTTCCCTTAGAAAGTCTTCATGCACACACAGCTGACAGCACAGCACAGAGGACAGACTGACGTCTGCTTTTTGGTAACTTTTCATTGCACGTGATTTAAGTTGCATTTGACATGGTAACAGCACTGAGCAGATGCTACTTCCAAAGGTCTGATGGAACACTTCCAGGCTAGTTAAGAGCAGAAGCACAACATTAAAATGAGGCATTCACCTTCGTTTTCACTTTTCTTCGCACAGCAGAAGCACCAAACAAACTACCAACCATCAGTAGGCTCCCCTGTTCACAGTGCACCAAACAAACAGCAGGTTAAGAAGGAAAGCTCTGCAGTACACATCTGCAGACCTGCCCCATCTGCCCCAACACCAGGCTGTAAAACCCCTCCGGCTTATAGGGCCGCATGCATTTCCTGACTGAGGTTGGACACAGACCAGCACTGCACTCGGGGCGATTCTTTCTCCCCTCTCTCTATTTCATACCACAGCTGTGCCTCCTTACCACCATTCTGAAGGGCAGCGTTTGCACAAGCAGAAGCCCTTCTTTCCAGTCTGCCTCAGCAGAGCACAGCAGAGCCTCCTGCTGCAGCAGAGATGAGACCGACCGCCCACAAGGAACGTCTCCCTTGGTTACAGCACTCAGAGCCTCCATCCTGCCAGAGCCATCAGCAGGAAGTCGCTGAGCTCAGCCACGGCCAGCTCAGTGCTGCTGCACCCAGGAGGGGCCTGCAGACACTGCAGGGGTGGCACCTGGACACCAGGGATGGCACCTGTGCTGCTGAAGTAAAGGAGATTTGCCTTCTTAGTAAGGCTGACACAGCTCCTGCCCCGCTGCCATAAGCCTCAGTGCACGCACAGCCTGCAGACAGGAATGACCCCAAAGCCACAGCCCTGCTCTCCTGGCACATCAGTGAGGACTGAAGGGCCTGCTTTGTTTCTCAAAAAATGCACGCTGAATTCAGAGCAGAGAAAATAGGATGTCTGCACACAAAATAAGTGTTTCCCACTGGTATCAGAAATACATCCTTTAACATAAAACATGACTTATCTCTGAAAAGGGTCGTTCTGGGCCTTTAGGGAAATACCCAACGGAGCAGTGAAAGCATCACGTCCCACATAGGGAAAATTCCTGCATATCAGCTTTTAGTGAATGCGAGATTGCTAAGCAGAGTGCTAAATAGCACACAATGCAGTGTTAGAAGTGTCCTAAGTGGAGTCTTCCATCACCTCTGTAAGTCTCATCTACAGTGAGGACGTACAGCCTCCATTTGGATTGATTCCCAGAGCCGTGGGTATTTTTTCATTGGCACAGATCCTTGCGTAGAAAGCACACAATGCTGGTTGGAATTCAGAAGTGTATTCCTTGCTTTCCACGGGGGAACTCCCTGCATGCAGCATGGGAAGTGTAGATGTTCACCTCTCATTCACCACTTCATTTTCAAAATACCACTTAAATGTTGGTCAAATGATGGCAGTACCAAGATAAATACCATTGTTTGAAATAAATGGTAAGATGGCCATTTCTCAACATTCTGATGACACGAGTTTCCAAACAGTATCATAAACAAGCAAACGCACTTTGCTTCCTCACAAACCCTACTGGGAGGTTGTTCTGATGAGGTCACACTGCACACATTTCCAATGACTCACAGCAGTTCTTCATGAGAACAGACTGTCACTGAATCAATGACCCGGCTTTTCGTATTTTGTTTCCCAATTCTGTTTACATTTCATACTTTGAATGTTACAGGATGTTACACTACAGATTCGGGGTACTGAGCTGTGGTCAGTTAGTTTACAAGCACCCATCTTCCATTCAACATTTGCTTTTTGCTAAAAATCTTTGCTACGTTGTCTGCGAACAGGAGAAAAAAAAAAATAGATCTGAACAGAAATAACATCATCAAAATGCTACCAGTAACATTATTTTGCACTGCAGGAAATGCCAGGTCAAAGAGCGTTACATAAATAGTCGTCACTTACTTTGGTAGAGTTTTCAAGTGATTTTCCCTTAACTCCAATATTCTCAATTTGACAAGTCTAGGAATACAAGAGAAAATAATTAGTGCATCTTATGAATCAGTTCAGAAACCCACTGGAATGGTTTGAAGCTGCTCACTGCAGTAAGGCGAGTTTGTGTACTACAAAATAACAAGACCTCCAGCAACTGTGGGATTGAACTTCACATACAATGCATTCAGAACCAAATAGCTCTGTATTTACTCCATCTTCTTTTCAAGTCCTTATCCAAACTCATCTGAAAACTTCTGACACACCTCAGTTTTCTCGAATAATGATAAACTACTTTTATTGACAATTCCAACAAGGCAGACAAAGGAAAAGCTAATTTCTCTCAAATATTTCTGGATCTGTGAAAACATGAAAAGCAGCCGCTGCACAGTTTGCAATTCTCTCTTCCATTTGTAGCCTTATATTCTGCAGCTCCACATCAACAGACCAGCATTACAGAACAAACCTCCATTTCATTTTCTGTATTTTATGCAGAAGTTGGACATGTGTGCTGGCACAAATTAGAACCTCTATACGGCAGCACTTCACCATTCCCCAGCACTGCAACTCTAACCAGCAACGTTACTCAGGCCATGTGAAATGGGGTGATTCTGCATCACTCACTCATAACTGCTATTTCTAAACAGAGCTGCTACATCAGAGCCACACTGTGTAAGATTTTAGGTGGACAGCACTGTTCTTAAACGTTCAGAAAGTTTATTGGTGAACTTTATGATGAGTTCCAACAACTCCACTAATATTGCCTTTTGATATTACTCTACAGTGAAGGCCCATTAGTGCCCTAAGTGTAAGCATGTGTCCGTGAGAAAAGCTGAAGCCATACAGCAAAGCTGTGAATACTTCTGTCCAATGCAATATCCATTTTGTTTCACAGAATCTCAGACTTCCCAGCTATTCTAGAAGCCCATGACTTTCCCTTTTTCCTACAAAAAAAAAAAAAAAAAGGAAAAAAAAAACATTGTAAATCCTACACTTGCACTTCAGCCAGGACTAAAAGCAACACCTCTAAGTGAAAAGTGCAAAGATGTCTACATGATGCTCCTGTAGGCTCCATTCCCCACTGTGATCAGATGGCTAAATGAGACTGTAACAGATTAACTGAACATGACTGCAGCAGAAGAGACAAAGCAAGCACTAAAATCTGGAGCAGGGCAATAAGAGTCACAGCTACAGAGCTCGTGTGCTCAGTGATAAACAGTGCGATTCCTGTACGCTGATGTTGGAAGCTTCGGAGACAAGACAAGGATTTGTAAGTGCAGGATACCAAAGGGATGACAGGAGCAGCACAGTAATGACAGAACAACAACCACTGCTGGAACCAATGTCATTTCATCTAGATAAAATCTGCATTTGTAGATTGAAAAAAAAAAGTGAGTGCTTTCTGTTAAGAGATGTAGAATGCTGGAGATGTTCTTAAGAGCCAAAGATCAGTAGATGAGTGCAAGCAGAGCTTCAGAAGAGCATAATGAATATAATTGTTCCATGGACAGAAAAACTACACATCTGATAAACTGCAGGGGTATTTCATGCCTTTGTCTTTCCTTATCACTTGTACATGCTGTCTGAATTCTGAACTGCAAAAGCAATCTTCAGATTTATTCTGACATTCCAAACACTCAACAACAGCAAGCAATGACAAGTTCTCCTTTTCTCAACTGGGCATTTTCTAAAAGTTACTGCAGTACAGCACATAGAGTTCAGGGTCAGCGACAGTTTCAGCAAGCAAATGCCAACAAATTTGTACTTCCTATTTCTCAGTGCCTGAGTACCATCACCTCCAACACCAGTTATGCCACACCAGTGTTGCTGTGCTGAGGTGATATTCCCAACGGAACTGTGACACGCACTTACAAGTAGCTAGATAGACCAGGAAAGAAACGAATACTGGGTGAATTCTGTAACATCACCTTTTCCTCCTTTAGTCCTCTGTCTTCTGAGCTATTAGTCCCACTGGGCAATCAGAAGGCAGAAGAGCTGCACAACCTTTCTGCTGGCAGCACAGCAGAGATGTGAATGTTGTGGTGCATTCTTCAATGGCCACATCAAATTGTCTTTGGTTTTCTGCCTTTGACTCATGCTTACGTAACACGCTTTAGCTCAGCTTCTACTGCCTTTATCTGTACTGCCACACAACATCCTTTCTGCTCTGCTGTCTTTTGAACCTTCTCTCTTCTCCTTGCTTTTCTATTCTTGCTTTTGTTGCTCCACCACACTCAGCCCTTCCTTATCTTTCTTTCCGACTCACGACACGTTTTTCTTTCTGTTCAGTCCTCAATAGCATACACTACACCACACTGTCATTTTCTGCACTTGCCACAACTTAATAACACATTTGACTAAGACAGGCCTCTTTTCTCCAATTCTTATTCCTGTCCACCTGTTCCCTAAACCAGCAAAGTGCTTCACTTCATCATAGAATTCTTGCTGACATAAGATTCTCTCTAACAGTAACAATTCATCAAAATAGGGCTGAAGAGACAAAAATCTGTACTTTTTGTTGTTGCTGTTTAAAAAAAAAATAAATTACAGTTTTTAAATGGTCCTTTAAAACCTGAAGTGGGTTCATATGAAAGAGCAACGCGCTTTGATGACTAATTCTTACCTTCCAAAGTTAGCTGGGAGAAACTCCAAAAAGGCATCATTTAGATAGAGCTGGGTCAAATTTAGAAGTTGTGTGAAGCCATCTGGCAGCCTAAAAAACAGTTAAAAGCTTAATGCTCACACTGAAGTTGCTATGGAAATAATAACAATATATATTTAGAAAGAGAAAGATGACTTTCTTTCTCACCCTCTTTTTCTACCCAAATTATCAAGAAGAATTTACTGAGCAGCTTTTTATGGATATTTTTGACTGCTCTCATCTTTTCCACAGTGCTATAACCACATGCAATTCAACTCCCTGGCACATCCCAGTCGCGTCGGCCTTTTCTCCCTTTCAAGTTGAAGCTTTTAAGCCAAAGGTATATTGCTCCTTCCCCTCCCCTCTGAGATACTGAAGTTTCATTCCTTCACTTCCTTCACTTTATTTCATATATCACAGGATTACAAAGACATTCGGTGACTGCAGGTTTTTGGCAGGAGTAAGCATTTCTGAAGTCCCAGCCTGGAGATTATGGCACTGGAGATGCAGCACAGCTTACTCCCAAATACATCCATTACCAGCCTGCAGGCTGCACCAACACATTCCTTATCACAGGGACACACGCCGTGCTCCCACCCAGAGCAGACATCTCTGCAGAGATGCATCCATCTTGGATTTCAAACAGTTGAAAAACAATTTTCGTTAATTCCATAAATAAACTTGACATTGGGCCTCCAGATTTCAGTTAACTTTGCATACATTCTCTGCACTAACAATAATACAAACACAAGGCTCCTGATACTCACTTCGATACTGGATTGACACTGGCTTCAATAATTGTTAAGCATTTACAGCACTTAATATTCTCTGGGAAGTCTTGAATTCCTGAAAACATTGATAGTAGTGTTATGCACATGTGAAAACTGTTCAACCTGTTTTGATCCTGAATGAGTTCAGATCTAACAGTGATAAACATACTTCAGTATTACACTCCAGAAAGTACTTTAGCAGTAAATAAATAGACCACAACAGGCAATGTGGCCTGCAGTACAAATTCTGCATTCTAGAGTTAGAGTGACACAATTTGTACTGATATTTGTACCGATATTTGTGCCTTTCGTTTCTTTCCCAAATGCCCACCCTTTTCTTCTTTGCCCATCTCTAGACTTACACTGATAATTTTTTCAAGAGAGCCTAAGCCTAATTTTCAAAACAAATACACAGGTTCAGATACGCAAAGTTTTTTACACACATAGATAAGTATTTTGGAAATGCACATCAGCAAATTCATTGCTGGCTACATCAATCCTGGCAGCTGCTGATCTGCAGCCTTATATCCTTAAATACATTAAAAACCTGATCCACAAGAGCCAACCACTAAGTACTGAGCCACTTTGGAAAGGGGAATGCTTCATAAGTGCAATAAAACAGGCCCTGCTCCTCCGCTTGTAACGCTTATCGGTCACAACTTATCATGGGGAATTATGCTAGAGAAGCCTCTGTTTTATTTATTCACTTCATTAGGAGAAAAGCAAGTGAGGTGGATATCCACCCACACCTGTTGAAAGCATCAGGTAAGAAAACAGAGCACAATGTAGAAAAAAAAGAGTATGTTTTCTAGAATATAGTTGCTAGAATTTAAGCTTCCTTGTTGTTCGTTTACTCATCACAATTCTGTAAGATACTTGTCCTTTTGATCTCTTACCATTTTTACTGATATCAAGTTCTCTGAGATTAACTAAGCTAGCAATGGTGGTTGGCAGACTGGAGAGGTCATTGTCTGGTATGCTCAGCTTGCGTAGCGCCTGGCAGTTGAACAGTTGCTGTAACATAAAAAGATACTTCAGAGTGTTTCAGGAAAAATCAGTTTGGAATCATCTTTATAAATAGAAGCAACAAATATTACAAAACTACAGAAGAATTCAAAGTGCAGAAGTATTTTGAAAGGCCAGAATTTGGGAAGCTGTTCTTAAAGACAGCTCAGCACATCGGCACAGCTTACATGTGGATGAAAGGAACGACCAGAGCAGCTGGTGAGTGGCAGAAATGCCCAAACACCATGGAACTCCCTGCTAAAAGTGCATACTCACTTTAAAAAGAACGAAACCTGCTGTTCCTTCAAGTGAATCTCTTCTCAGAAGACCAAGAGATGATCACGTGAGGGAGGCATGAATAATGCCTGCTCACAAAGCTGAGCCTGAGCTGCAGCCACCAGCCCTGGCACCAGACCTGAAGGGCCTTCTCAATGAGAAACACCCCTCAGAACACTTTGCGTTGGCAGTTTTGCTCTGCACAGCTCCTCTCACAAGGAATGCATTTGTTCATTTTTAGGACCTCTTCTTAAAGCACAGCATTTTGGACAGGACTGAAAAGTAAGGGGACTACCACGCTCCAGGGTTGTTTGCTTTTGTGATTTCCAGCCCCACTGCTGCAGCCCACAGCAATGTGCAGCACAGAGGCCTGGCAGAGCTTTGGCGTGCATACAAACCAAACCATTCCATGCTGTTAGAGCTGCAAAATGCAACCCCAGCACCTTCTCCCAGCTGTTGCACTGAAGCATTACCATAAAAGACAAAGGAAGCATGGAGCTTCCAGCTTGCCCTGCAATACGCTGAGCCGCCTCACCTTGAGCACTGTGTGCAGTTTTGGGTGCCACAGCATACAAAGGACACAGAACTATTAAGGAGTGTCCGAAGGAAGGCTACAAAGAAGAGGTCTAGAGGGGAAGATGTGCTGGGAGCAGCTGAGGCCCCTTGGTTTGCTCAACCCAGAGAAGAGGAGGCTGAGGAGAGGCCCCACGGCAGCCCTGCCACCCCATCGTGGCAGCCTCCAGCTCTCACAGGCCATCCATCACCCTGCACCCACGTACCGCTTCTGCTTCCCTCCCACTCGTGCTGACAGTGCCAAGGTGTGAGGGACAACAACAGGCATTATTCTGCATGTCCCCACTTCCCATGAGGCGATGAAATGCTGTAGGCTATAACTAAGAACTCCTCATACCCATTTTACCAATGCATTAGATTTATCTTTATTAATGTCTCCCAGTACAAGTTAAAACAGATCTTAGTTTATTATTATTTATAGATGACAGTTACTGGGAGGAGTTTTCGTCTCATCTGGGCTTTTCTGATTGGCAGGGATTCCACCTACACCAAAATCAATTCTCTTTTTCATGTCATTGATTCACTTGACTCATGCAAATAGGGTCGTATTTGCAGTGGCAGCTCGTGATAATGAGGGCAAAGGCAAGGAAAAGTCTGGTCTAAAGTCAGGGGGAAATAGAGACTAAGAATTGCAGAATTATACCATAAATCCTGAAAAGAAAAAGAAATATGCTGCACAAAGTTCAAAAATACAACAGGCAGAATGAGTTTGATTTATCTGTGTAAGGCTAAGAAGTGTATTGGTTGCTAGAGAAACAGGTAACACTGGTACATAAGGATGTAACGGAATCTCCATCTGTGCTTTTCTTCATGAGGCTGTAAGATATGGTAAAAGCGTTCTGATGGCAGTAAGCTTTAATGCACCACTGAGTCACTGCGGTACGTAATATTGGTCAATAATAAAAATAGAACACTGACGAAACAGATTTCTTTTTGGAAACAATTATTGGGCTTCACATCTCCAGAGGAAGGAAAGTCCTGCTCACAGGAGCTCGCAGCATGTAATACAAATTAGTGTGAGGAAACACATTGCCATTTTAAGGAGAAATGACTTTATGTCACCTACAGCTAAATTTAAGGAGAGGACAGAGCTCGACACGTGGCAAAAATTATTTGGAGCAGAAAATTAGAGGAAGAAATTATTTGGACTGTTTCCACTTACGGCAATGATTAATAAACTCTTTGGACAAAGAGGTGTAGATGGTATTAAAAAAGCCAACCAATGCTGCCATTTTTCTTCCCATAACTGCGCAAGACCAAGACTGTGTTACATGATGCATTTACCCACACTCAAGGCTGATCATAAGGACCTTTTCAGTACGTTGTATTTGCTTCAAATTATTACTTATGGACAAAGAAATGAAGCAAGAGGTGCAAAAATGGAGCCCTACTCACTTAAATTGCCCCAAAGTATGTATTTATCTGCTGTTTCATTTCACAAATACCATGTATGAATAGATGATACCACAACACAGTGCAGTGCACACCTCAGCTCTGACTGACACTGTCACCTTCATTTGACTTTCATTATTTTGGACCCTTTACCCTCGGCCTTCACATTACGTCCCGATACATTTGCCTTGTACTCAGCACTGCCACTTCTCTAAATACCATGGTGATGCCTACTTTCATGAGGCCAAAGACAAATATATTAATAATTGGTGGCTAATTTAAAACCTATACTTTTTTTTCAGTGTGACTTTTCATACTGAAAAAAGTAGCAAAGTAGCATCATTTAAATATACAAAGTTAACCATATATTTTTATTAAAATAGATGCAGTCCTGAAGGTACTTGCATTCATAGTGAAATGATCTACACCCAAACCCCTTCATATTCATGGGGACAAAAAAATCTCCGGTTCTCCGCTGTCCTTTTTAGGAGGAGAGATAAGGCAGTTCTCTATATCATTTTTTCCATGACACTTGAAGATTGTAGCTACCCTGCCTTATCATCTGTAAATAGCTTCTTGATTGAGTGAGTAATCTTCAGCAACGAGCCTTCATATCTGAATATGGGAACTCCATGTAATGAAACAAGCACGTTTTCTACATTGGGAAATAGAAGTCTCTGTGTTTTGTAAGTCAGGAACATATTGGGAGATGATGAAAAATGGATTACAGTGGAACAATGTTTAATTAAAAGACTTGTAAGCATCTTTCATTATTGTTGAGAAAAATTCAATTAAGGGACGGATTACATTACTTCATGCTTCATTATGTAGCTAGCACCTATTATTAATTGCTTTTTTCCACTACCTTGCCCTCTTTTGTTTCCAGAACATTCAAGTTACACTAACTTTTAATTTCTTACAGTAAATATTAATCAACAGAAGACAAAAGGATCTGTAAAAGAAGTTTTACACAGGAAGGATCACTACAGAAATTGGTTTCAGGGCCTCATTTATGGCTGTACAAATGTCACCCAGCCAGCGCCAGCCTTTCTCCCACAAGGATCAACAGCTCATCCTTACCAAGGGTTTTTTGGTGTTTTTTTTTGTTTTGCTTTGTTTTTTGTGCAACTGATGATCCAAATGCAAGACCTCCTGCCCCACGTGGCCGTGTACTCGCAGTCTCTCAAAGCACCATGCCATATTTATCATTTACCAGCCCACGAGCAAGCCACGTTTCAGAGTTGCAGCACATCTTCAGCGCACATTCAAGAACACGGCTTTGCCAACTGTAACACACACAGAGCACAGGTTACCTTGGGTAGCTCTTCGATTTGATTGGCATCCAGATAAAGCTCCTCTAACGTGCGCTCGAAGTTGAAGACCTCCTTTGGCACCTGCTGCAGGCCGCAGTGAGAGTAATCCAGGACGGAAACGATCTCCTCCTCACCGCGAAAACAGCGGCAGGGCACCAAGCGGCCAATAATCTTCCTTTTGGTTGTCATCTCCAAGCAGGGCACTGAAAGAAATGCGAGACAGTTTTCTGAAAATATCCATGTTTGGGCCTATTTCTTCAGAATCATTACAAATACAGCAGGCCATTCGAGATGTATGTTCTTCTGACAGGTATTGTAATCTGATTCTCCAGATCTTAGCCTGCTCTGCAACAAAGCACTGCTTGCCAGAATGATCACAAAAAGCAATCTCAGCGTCCTGTCTGTTCCCCTACGTGGTGACAGAACAAAACACACCAAGGCCATCCTCCGTTCCTGCTTTCTGAAACAATGAAAACCTGCTATACAAATCCTGCAGGTAGAAAGGAACACATTTTCCAGCTAAAGTGCACTCCATGCTTTCACCCCCTGCTCGGTTCGGGCTGTGAGACAGTGAAGTGAACCAGTCACAGCCGCTTGGACTCCAGTTCTCCCTGGCAAACATGTAGATCCATCACATCTGATTTCCCTGAAACCAACAAACCTCTTCAGCTTTCCACAGTTTTTGTTGGGTGCCCTCATTGTCTTTTTGAGCGCACAAATGAAGAAAAGAACGCATAAACCACCTGATAAGAAAACAACAGAAAGCCATCAGTTTGTTTACCTGTCCTTCCAGCTTCACTTGTGTTATCTCAGGCTGTGGGAACTCAGATAAGGGACTTAGCAGAAATCCCATTAGTTGTACTGCAGCAGAATAAGCTACTGGGAAATCTCCCCATTGCCTGTTCCCCAACTTCTAGACCAGACATTGGTTCTGCTGACCTTCCTTGCACACATCACCCACACACACCTCTCCCTCATGTGAGGGATAATTCACACAAGTCTGTTTTAATATTTTTTAGCAAGATAAGAATGTTTTAAACAACTACTTTTGAAATGAACAAACAGCAAGCAGATTTTATATCTGTCAAGCAGTCTATGTCTCAAAGAGATACCGACATTGTGAAGTTATACTAACCAGGTTATAGATAAATCAGGCTGTTCTGAAATGTATTACCATAAAGCCAACATGAACAAAATCTTTGCCTCCTATTTTGTAAAGCACTTACCAAGTTTTATAACATTTATGGAAAGAATGCACTTAATTAGACCAAGTAAAGCAAAGCACATCAGGAGCCTCTTTCACAGTGAAAAAGCAACCATACATTCATGCAAAATGTCAGTGGAGAGAGAGAGAGTGAGGTTCTGCAAAATATCTTCCAAAAATAGCATGAGCTGTAGAATTTGGTGTCAATCCGTGCTTTCCTTTGTCTTCTCACCCATTTAAAGAAGCTTCCCAAATACAAGAAGCCCAGTAACTGAAGAGAAACAAGTTTCCTCTTGGGCGGCTCCCCACGCGGAGCTGAGAGGATCTGCCTACGAGTGAATATAGATCATTCATGATGCTTCAGGCATTGTTTGTGTGAAAAGTAACATAAGAAAGAAAAAAGGATTTCCTTGGTCTGATAATGCCCTGTGCACAGCTCTCCAGAACTTTTTGTGCTGTTTGTATCATTGATATCCGGGAGGTAAACAAGACTCAAACGTTCTACTGGCACTCAGCAATACCAAGGAGACAGACACACAAATGCTGTCAGAACAAATGCTGGTTGCCATGGTCTCGAGATGCTGAGAGGAGCACAGGGGCAGTGCCCCAGCTGCCCATTGGCTGGCTCTGACTTAAGGGTAGCTTAAAACAGAGACAAAAGTAGTCTTGTAATTTAGTTTGAGCAGATGCCAAAGTTGGAGATCTAACACTGAAGCTGTCTTAATTACAGGCAGCTAATGCAACGAAAGCACTTGCATAACAAAGTCTACATAAAATAGAAGACAGAGATATGGAAATAGATTCATTTTCAAACTAATTTATAACTGAAACTTCGATTTTTATTTAACTTCTAATCCTGTGCTTCCCCTTTTCCCAGTTCTACCTCAGCTGAGTCTTTGCCCATTCCTGCATGATCCAAGCCTTCTCACTCCCCAGCACAATCCATGCACTCAGCCCATTTGGCCGCATGAAGTCTGTATTTCCTCCCAGAAACCATCCCATGAGCTCACGTGAGAACACAAGATCAGAGCAGCTGATGGATGTAAAAGCACTGCTCATGGAATAAGCTTTTCACAAGAAAAATGAAATCAGCTACCAAGATGCACTGCCGCTTTGTATTCAAGCAGAGGAAGCAACATTTGCAACTGCATATTTCAGAGCATGACACAATACAAATAGATGCCCTTGGAATATCAAATTATTTGTAGCTTTTGAAGGCATTTGAAGGTAATGAACAATTGAGCAGTGACATGTACTTCAAAAACTACTCGGAAAAACATCCTTCCCATAGGCATTACAAAGCACTTAGCTTTGCATTATTCTCCTCCACTGTAGGCACATGCATAAAACAAACCTCACATTCCATTTTAATAGAAAGCCAGAACAATCACAGCAGAACAGCTAGAAAATGTACAAATAGAGAGCAGTGAGAGAACAGCACTAAAAATAGCAATTACAACAGCAAAAGCACTGTTAAAGATAGGGGGGATGCTTGTACAAAAGTTCTTCCATTGTCACAGTCCATAAAATGCTCCATAATTTCTTATTCAATAAAAGATTGGTTTTAAAAATTAGAAAGGAAAATTGGGAAGGATAAACAAAAGTAATTTAATTACGCTGTCTTCCCCAAAGGCAGTGATAAGATACAGTTGTCAAGATCACTAAAGTCAATTGTTGAGATTATTTGGTTATTACTTGGATCTGCCCTCTTCAGACACAAACAAACAAACAAACAGAACACTGCTTGGGTAGATCAGCCATCTCTACTCAAGAACAGATGAATGCAGCAGTAAGGAAGGAACTTGACCCTGAACTTAGGCGTGCTGCTAGGGAGGATCAGTGTGCAGTAACACCACTACAGAAACACCTCCTTGCTCCACTTCTGGCAGCACGGCCATGGGAGAGCACGGAGCTGAACATCTTTCAGTGAGAGGGCGTTTTGCACGTGTCTGTGGACTGCTCCTCTATTTACCCTCTGTAATTAAAACTGAAATGAGCAATCATGCTGGAAAAGCCTGCTACACATCCCCTGGGGTTCATACTGTTCTTCGCAATCCATTCAGAAAGCACCAGTAAGGAATTAAAGGACCTGTGATATGATTGAAAGAAGTAAAATTTCATGCCCTGTGGACTAATGGTAATTAAACCATTCATTAATTTGAGTATTATTAATTCCTTCCCTGAACTAATCCCAGTTTTGGTAATTACACTTTTCTTACCTACATTTTATTCCTTCAGATTTCTCACGAAGCCTCCCTTCTGTTCTGAGTTACTTACAGGGAGAGGGCTGCTCCTCGAGAGGGCAAGGAGGGCCGACGGGCTGCCAGCCTGGGGCTGTCAGAGTGCCACTGCTGCTCCAGCACATCGTTGGCACCCGAAGCAATAAGGTCTGTCTTCTTCCTGACGGAGCACCCACGCCTACTGCCCACCCCCACTGAAAGCAGTGAAAGCAGCGTGCTTCTCTTTAGCAGAGCATTAGAGGTCACTGCTGAGAGCAAGCTGTGTGCTACACAGCGAGTACCACGTGCTCCGACAGAGCCCAGTGACACTCAGAAATCAAGAAATGCCACTGAGGCTGTCTGCTCAGTCTCACTGAATTTAGTGGAAGAGGACTAAATTGTCAACAGAATTCACAGCAACCTGGGAAGCCATGACACGTTTGTTCTGCAAGGTGCCAGGAGCACGTGGCCGTTTTCACATGCAAAAGCACTGGGAAGAAATGTAGGTCTTGGGAGCTTCTCTGCAATTCTGATTAAGGAAATGCTTTGACTTTGTAACTAACAATCAAACAACTTCTTTCATAGAATCACAGCATGGCCTGGGTTGCAGAGGAGCACAACGCTCATCAGTTCCAACCCCTGCTGTGCGCAGGTCGCCAACCAGCAGCCCAGGCTGCCCAGAGCCACATCCAGCCTGGCCTTGGATGCCTGCAGGGATGGGGCATCCACAGCCTCCAAAATGTGATGTACAATTACTCAACTCTTCAGAACAATAAAATGAAAAACAAATACTTTCCCCACAAAAGCTCAAAAATGTTATGACCTCCTTCGTAAAAGCTTTTAAAAATACATATCCTCTCTTGAATTAGGTTTAAGAAACTTGGAAAGAGGCACAAACGTAACTGCTACTTATCAGCTCCATGCAAACATCACATTATCATTATCTACAGTTTATTCTCTTTCAAAGCAAATCCCTAAAATAAGAAAAACAGTAGCTTTACGAAAATAATTGGGATAAAAATCTAATCTCTTTCCAGTTAATGTATCTTTTGTGCCATAAAAACATTAATATTGTTACTCAATAATCATGGGAGTTTTCCTCACCTATCCAGAAGACAGAAGTAAATTGCTGCGTGGCCACAGAGCTTTGACTTAAAGATGGAAAATGTGAGTTGACCAACGTGAGGTCTGAGAAGAGCAGAGGCAGCAGTTTGTTCAGAAGACAAATACCTACAGGTTGTTGTTCACCTCGGGAGCCCTTTGCACTGCACTGGGTGCACACACCATCACACAGAGCCAGTTGGCTTTTTGCCCCTCAGAAAACAACTCAAAATTTACTTCAGAATATGGGGAAGAAAAAGTCATCTCTCTCTGAGAACATTTTACCCAACTGGTTTTTCTGCACAAGGTGCAAAATGATACCTTCAATGGGTTTTACTTTTTGTTGATGCTGTTAATGAAAACTAGGAAGCTCTCACTTACTGGGGAAGCAATATGGAGTTATTAAAACCAGCTTCAAATTGCTGCTGCAGAGCCCCTGCCCCATGCACAGGAAAGCCTTTGAAGTCCCCATTAAGAACATACAGTTGTTTGCTTCTGCAAATTAAAACAGCTTTTCATTATTGTTTTCAAAAGCATTGAGGAGATATGAGAAAAAAGAGGCAGCCAAAATGTAAAGAACTCCAGAATTATCCCCTACTACACGAGGATCACCTTGTAGATCTTTCCCAACCTTGGTGTTTCTGTGATTCTGAGTTGTTGGTTTTTTTCCTCAATACAG